CCCTCCCTTCTTCCCCCCTTCTTCCCCTCCTTCTTCCCCTCCTTCTTCCCCTTCTTCCCCTTCTTCCCCTTCTTCTCCTTCCCCTTCCCCTTTCCAACCAATGGTCACTATATGACTACAATCATTGCACTGACTGTATTAGACAGACTTTGCTGTCTTTGCCAAACAGGCACAACTGTAGCTCTTTAGTCTGATGTCTGCTGAATGCTCAGTCCACTTCTGCCCTAAGCTGACTTTCTGGGCTCCATCCCTGCATGAGGGCCCATGCCCAGATCTGCTCTGTGAAGTGCCTATGCCCTGTCTCTTCTGGTTTCTGCTCTGCTACCCGCTTCTCCTTCAGTCTTGCTCTGTCCTCTGCAGTTTTTTTCCCTTTAGAATCTTATGGGTGGGAATCGCGGGAGCTAGGAACTTTGTGGAGGCAGATTCTGATCTTGCCTTGTCCCCAGTCCAAAAATGATCGCTCTGAGCATCCCTCAAGGAGCTCCTGGATTTCCCCGACAGGGACGTGGATGCTGTGCTGTCTAGGGCCAATGCCACAGAATTTGGTCTGGCCTCTGGTGTCTTCACCCGGGATATCAACAAGGCCCTGTATGTCAGTGACAAACTGCAGGCGGGCACTGTGTTCGTCAACACATACAACAAGACTGATGTGGCTGCACCTTTTGGAGGATTCAAACAGTCTGGATTTGGCAAAGACCTGGGTAACCAAACTCTGTCTGTGGGACTGCTTTTCAGCAAACACCAGTCAAAGGCCACCAAGGGCCAGGTCTTGTCCCCAGTGCTGGAGTGTTACACTGATCAAGGCAGCTGGTAGCTGATCAGTTCTTGCTGGGAGGGGACACTCTTGGGGCTGGTGTACTTTGCTGAGACAGCAGACAGTCGTGGAAAGGATATGTACATATAGCAGTTTCTAGTCACAGGCAGGCAGGAAGACGACTTCTTGGCTGCCAATAGCCAGTAGAGCAGCCATCCCACCTCCTCTATGATCAGTGTGGTAGAGAGGGCTCTAGAATGATTGTCCCAGATCATTCTCCTGCCTGCGCTGGAGTCCAAGCCCACAGCTTACAAAGGGATGGCCTGGGTTGGGTACATGATTTCCCAGGGCCTTGGTTTCTTCTCTGTGGAGAGAGCCAGGCTACCCACAGTGTGTTCCAGGGGTCCCCAGAGAGGTTCCCTGCACAGCCATAAGGTATCCCAATGGTGTGTGCTATCTTGCAGGAGAGGCGGCCCTGAATGAGTACCTGCGGATCAAGACTGTGACTTTTGAGTACTGAGGCCAAGTCTCTGTGATACTTCTTCTGTACCCTGTTGGCCTCCTCTCAGGGAGCCCTGGCTGATCTGGTGGCTTAGCACGTTCTTGTCCCCAGCACTGCTCCAGCTGCTGGAGCTACCCACCTGGACCCCTGCTGGTGACAGGACACCCTCCAAACAATCAGAAGTGGCACCAAGTGGAGTGAGCAGTCATGTCCCGCATGAATAAATATTATGAACAGAGGTCACCTGCATTCTGTGTCACCGCTCTGTCTATGGGTGCCTCGGATGGTGCCAGAAGCAATGGTCACCCTTATCTTGGCCATGTAACATCACTTGGCCTTCAGAGAACAAACTGTGGCCTTAGTGGGACACAGGAGGAAATGCATGGGTCTTCACACACCTCTAAAAGCAGAATGGATACAAGAGGCTGTGGAAGAGGGTACACCTCAGAAACAGGAAATGGGACTTGGGGAGTGAGCCCTGGGCCATGAAGCACCCGAGTCTCCTCTGCAGGGACCCAGGTTCTCACCAGGCACTCAGTGGACTTGGGCAGTCACAATGGTGGCCTGGGGCTTACAGCAGGGACCCTACCCTGCCTGGCATTTCCCTGGACAGCACTCCTGTGTTCTACCATCTGTATCTCTTGTCATCTTACAGCGCCTCAGCCGAGAGCACAGCTTCTACCTCCTGTGTGCTCACCCGTGAGCTCACCCGTGGGTGCCTCAGGCCCTCTCCCCTGTACCTTCATCCTAGAGGTCCCACACAGCACATCTCATCAGATTTGCTATTGCCGAGGTTTACCTAACATGCTCATTCTCTTCCTGGCATGCCCACCACTACCGTCTTTCCTTGGCTTTCCCTCTCTGGGTGCAAAAAAACTTTAAAGGTCTTTCTGTTCTTCCTTGGCCAGGCAGACAGTAACCTGGATCAGCCTATGCTTGTGTGGCAAAGATTTCAGGCCCATGTAGTATCCTGGACTTCCTCCACACCCCTGCCCTTCTCCTAAGCACGGCACATGCCTCAGAGTGATATTTTGGTCGATGAGAAGCCACATACCTAATATTGATCCCAGAAGATGGTAGATCTGAGAATTCCTATCACCTACGATGTCACAAGTGATGTGATGTATGATGTCACAAGTGATGTGATGTATGATGTCACAAGTGATGTGATGTATGATGTCACAAGTGATGTGATGTAAACATGTCACTCCTGCATTTGTGATGGGGCTGTGTAAACCCCACGTGGTTGCTGGAGAAGGAAACTGGGGTGATCACAGTGACACTATCACTGGCCATGTGTTCACAAAGTGAGAATCAGTATATATGTTTTTTTTTAAAAAGAATTATTATTTGTTTTTCATCTGTGTGTTTGTGTGTACATGCATGCAGGTACCAGAAGAGATCAGAAGATGACGTAAGAGACATCAAACCAGGGTTACAGGGAGTTGTGGGCTGACAGACATGGGTGGCAGGAGTCAGACTCAGGTCATCTACAAAAGAAGCAAGCTCCTAACCCCTGAGCCTTCTCTCTAGCCCATGGGAGGCCAGGCCTAAAACCAGTCATGGTGTTATATCTGCAGCAGCCTTATCTGTCTGGTGTGTGTGAGGTGTCCCCAGTAGATCATGTCCAGTGAGTGACCTTGACCATCTAGGTTACATGAGTTTACTCTGCTGTGACATGCACAGTGACATTGCCTGACAACAAAGTTCTTGGACCTTATCCCAGTCTCGAAGTGACATAGGACAGTAGATTTTATGATTCTCACATGTGAACACTGATAGTAGCAATGGCAACCACAATAGCTTGCCGAGTGCTGCACGCCATGCAGGCTTCTAAATGCCCTCCACACATTTATACTGTCCATGCTGTGCTCCAGTGAAGGAGGAACGGCTAGCCCACTGAAGCACAGAAGCTAGCTTGCTCAGGGACCTGTGGCTGCTGTGGAGCTCCTTTTCCCCTGACAAACCATGAGACCCTTGAAGCCCATGTGAGTGACAGAAACCCAGGTTCTGAGTCTCTGGGAATGGGCTCTGAGCATGTCCAACCTTTCTTCCTGATGCCCATGGAAGGGAAAGACCTGTTTTTACTTCTACTGCCCATTTTTAAGTGGGACAAGGATGTACCACTGTGACACTAAACGCCACCCTGTCATTTCCAACTGCCACCTCCCTCCTTTCCCAGAACCCTTTCATCTTGTAAAGCTTAGGGGTTTTTTTTTTTTTTTTTCTGCCTTTAAACATAGACTTTTCATTCTCAGGTAAGGCAAGCTGAGTCTGTGAGCCCAGAGTTCACATTCAGCTGGGATGGAAATAGAAACATCCTACAGTCTGCACCCTTTACCATGTGTCCACAGCCGTCTTGGGGGGATAGCTCAGTGGGAGAGCAGTCATCTAGGTAAGCAGGGCTCTGGGTTCTAGCCTCTGAACCTGTGCGCTCGAGCACACACACACACACACACACACACACACACACACGTTAGTAATCTGTAGCCATTATTCTAGCACATTGTATGTGTATAACATGTGCTCCGTGTAATATTTAAAATATGCCACAAGGTTTGTCCTCCCATTCTGACATTTCTTCTTTTCATATCTGCTTTCTTCCAATTGAGATAATTCAGGCCCTTTGGACGGTCCTGAGTAGAAAGATTTGGGTCCTGTGAGGAGACCCTCTGCTCTGGCTCTCCCAGCTGCCCTGGGATACCCTCCTCTTGTCAGCTCCTCCTCATGTGCAGTCAGCTAAACCTATCTTTAGCATCAGGTCAGTTTCCTCAAGGCATCAGGTCAGGCCTGAGAGGAGGGATTTTTTTCGCTCCCTGGGTGCTGTCTCTGAGGATTGCAAGTCAGGTCTCCAGACTGCTGCAGTACTTACGTGCAAGCTGTCCCCACTGTGGCCCCACAAGCTGATCAGCCACTCCTGACTCCCACCTTCCTCCTCCAGACAGAACAGCAGAGACTGCAGAGTCCACACTGACAAGTGCTGTAAGTCATTGTCCCTGGAAGTTAGTCAGTCAGTCCAGGGTTAGCCCAGGACCTGTAGGGAGAGCCTTGCTAATGGGTCAGGAGCATACCCAGCCTTCTGAATCTGGCACTGCCTGACACTCTCTGGTGGACAAGACTTGATTTCTATCTGAAAACAGCAACTACAGTGCCTCTCCTACCTAGTCCAGCTTCTCGTGGTGATCTGTGCAACCACAGTGTCAGTGGGTGCTATAAAGTCCAAGTGCTAGTACTATTGCCGTGTTAAAATTTTGCTCACACTTATGGTTTTGCAAATTACTAGTGGGTTCCCAATGACAGCCTTGTCTTCCTGATAGCACTTGGCTACATGAGCGGCTGTCAGGAAGGACTAGGGGTGGGGTAGGGTGTGGGAAACTACTTCAGAGTTGGTCTAGCCCAGTGCCAGTCAGGGCCTCTCGTGAGACTACTATCTGCAGAGATCACTAGGAAGCCAATTGACCTGACAGGACAGGAGTGAAGATGGACTTCCCTACATGTATAATGAAAGCCAGGGATGCCATTGTGCCCTAGATGGACAGCCTGGGAGAGTCTCCTTAACTAGCCCTTGGGAATCAGGAGGGGAGCAGTGAGAGGCTACCCTGGGTCCACTTGAAGCATCTTCTAATTAATCAGAAAGGAAATTTTTGCATTGGGTAATTTTCTTCGTTTTGTATGTGAACTTGATATTTTTAAATGTAACATTTGAAAGATGATAGGTGTGGTGTTACAGAGCTGTAATCCCCAAACTCAGGAGTCAACGACAGGTTTTGTGGGTATGAGGCAAGACTGGTTGACACAGCAAATTCTAGACCAACCATTGATATTCAGTGAGATCTTATCTTAATATAAAAAAGTGATAATCCACAGGATATTCCCTCCCCCCCCGGTCTGTCTGTCTGTCTGTCTTTGTATTGTGTCTGTGTGCCTGTGTCTTTGTGTGTCTGTCTGTGCATGGGACCCTGAGCATACTGCACAAGCACTCTGTCACTAGGCCACATCTCAGCCCTGAGCCATCACATAACAGGATCTGAACAATCAAGAATAGCCACTTGACTCATCAGTCCATCCATCCAACCATCCTTCATCCATTCCTTCACCAACTCACTTGCTTAGGACAAATTCACAGAAAGCCATTGCTTTAGGAACAGGCCATACTTTAAATCCCTGCTCTGCCAAGGCAGCATGTGTGGCCTTGGGCAAGTGGGCACCTCTAGCCTCTTGGCTCCTTCACCCATGAAAGGGCACCAGCTCTGCACAGCCCAGGCTGCATGTGGATGAGTGGCAGGCAGAGGACCCTGGACCGAGTCCTGAAGACTGAGTTCTCCTTCATCATCAAAACTGCTTACTTATTTGCTGATGTCCCCAAACCCTCAGAGTCCCTGCCGCCACCCTGTTCTGCTCCTACCTGCCTCTGGCTATGTCTGTCCTCAGGAACTATGGAGGGTGGTGTCCCCAAGGAGCACCAGCCTTATGTGAGGACTAGTGGGTACTGGACTTCGTCCTGCTCTCTGCTCTTTCCGGTGATATATCTCTGAGTTTCCCAGAATTCCCGTGTTGGCATGTTTATAGTGAACCTCCTGTTGTCTGTTTTCTGCCTCTCACCTTCACTCTCACAGGGCTTTGTGGGTCAACCTTCAATCAATGGGTTTGCTCTGGAGTCCTGTCTCAGGGACCAGGGAGCAGGGGCTGAGGTCACTGAGCAGGGCCAATGTCCCCTTCAAGACTCTGACACCAGTTACTAGCTTTCCCCATGCTAGTCAGACCTCTCTAAGGTCCTGCTACCGCCCAACAGTGCCTCAGTCTGGGGATCAAACTTGTGAAACCTTGATAAAACCTTCCAAAGTATGGGCCAAAATAAACCCTTTTCTTTGTATAAGTTGACTTTGTTACAATAAAAGAAAACATATCAACATGGAGTCCAGGGTTCAGGGATGGCTATTCCTGGTAATGCCTCCTACTGTCTATGTCTTACCTGCATACACACAGGAAGAATGAGTTGCCAGGGTCTCTCTTCCCGAGAGGACTCCAGTCCCATTGTGGTTGCACCCTGTGACCTTACTTGCTCATTGCTACCTCTTACATAAGCTGAGTTGACAATGTAACCAATCCAGCCTGTACTCCTAACATGTGGAACAGTGTCATCTGGTTTTGCTTTGTTTTTTATTTGCTGAGGACAGAATCCGGGAACTGGGCTGTCTTGCATCAACCCTGCCCTTGCCTTGCCATACTTTTTTGGTTTCTGTTGTATT